GCGATCAATGTGGGACGAGATGAAGGAGTTCGCGGAGGCGGTGTTGACAGATCATCTACCCATCCTTCTAAGTTTTATTGCCGTAATGCTCCTCTTGCCCAAGCTTATCAAATTTGTTGTTAGATTGTTCTTTTGACTTTTTGCGCGCGGGAGTGTGCAGAAAAGTGGCTCTTTTCTGTGAAATCTTATTTAATGTTTTGATTTTGAATATCTCTGATTCTCCTGCCCTCTAAAGATCGTTTTGTGTGATAAAGGGGACGGAGGCCACTTTGTATTGCTTTTCATTGGCTTTGAAACACTGAATCAACGATTGATTCTATTTTATTATATTTTCTCGCTAGATTAATAATTGTGTTATATTCGGAATAAATATCTAATAATCATTGCCCCATCGGTATCCTCTCACGCACTGCACACTCATTTTGGCACATTATTCCCATGTTTTTGTCTTTCAAATCTTTTTCCTAGCTTCCATAATTGTTTATCGAAAATTTTTTGTTATCAACGAAAACTGCGACTAACAAGTGTTCGCAACTCTCGAATGGTTAGCTTTAGCTACGTTTGTGTACAAGATGCGCCATAATTGTCGCAACAAGGTATCAAGCGCGTAATTCCGATAACTACCTGGCTCTTCTCAAGGATGAACCCCTGCCATTTTGAAAATGGCATTTGGACTTATCAGCAAGATGGCAAATCAGCCCACAAATCCAAGAGTTTTGCCAAAAAATTCTCGGACTTCATTTCTTTTCTAAGTGGCCACCTAGCTCTCCAGACCTCAACTCAATGGATTTTTCAGTGTGGTCGGTTCTAAAAGCCAAAGCTTGTTCAAGGTCCCACAAAAACATCAAAAACTTGAAGAAACCACTGTTGAAAGCGTGGGAAGAGCTCAGTTCAGCTATTTGGTCGCCACCGTTGACGCCTTCCCAAAATGCCTGCAAGCCTGTTCAAATGCTAATGATGACCAATTCGCATTTGATAGTTCATTTATAATTGCTAATGTACAATAAAGGCCATTCAGTTAAAAATTTGTCTTTTTTCTTCTTGTCTGCCTTAAAATCAGAACTTTATCTTGTTGCGAAAATTATGGGAAAATTTCCCGGTTCAATAGTAATCTTTTACTTAACTTTAAACAAAACAATGCGAAATGAAGTGTTGAAATTGTTGGGGATTCGTCGTGAAAAGACAGCAATCTATTCACTAAAAAATAATCCGCAAGCATTTCAACTTGTTTTAAATCCAATTTTTTCAAAAAACAATGACAAAGTTCGGAGGGAAAACGAGAAAATGCGATTGGAGTTTTCTGTTTCTTTTTTAAATTTTGTCATCTTGTATTGAGAATTTCACCAATCAGTTTCCGAGCTGCAAACGAGCTTTAGATAAAAAGGGATTTAGAAAGAGAAGAAGGAAGGAGAAAGGAAGAAGAAGAAAGAAAGAAAGAAGAAGAAACAAATACTTGTTTGGGATGATTATCAACTTTTTTGACTTCTCTACTCGCTGACTTTTGGGAGAAATTGCTCTAGAACTGGCAACTTTCTTGGCAATTGAAATGAAAATGGCAAAAAAGTTGAACGGTTCGATGATTTTTGTTTAACTAGGTTTCAAATCTGTCAATTATCTAGTTTTCCAGTTTTCGATCTTCGTTTATCTCTTCAGAATCTTCAGAACCTTCCGAATCTTCAGAATCATTTTCTTCAGAATCTTCAGAATCGTCAAGCTTTTACTTTTGCGTCAGTAAACGAAGATCGAAAACTGGAAAACTAGATAATTGACAGATTTGAAACCTAGTTAAACAAAAATCATCGAACCGTTCAACTTTTTTGCCATTTTCATTTCAATTGCCAAGAAAGTTGCCAGTTCTAGAGCAATTTCTCCCAAAAGTCAGCGAGTAGAGAAGTCAAAAAAGTTGATAATCATCCCAAACAAGTATTTGTTTCTTCTTCTTTCTTTCTTTCTTCTTCTTCCTTTCTCCTTCCTTCTTCTCTTTCTAAATCCCTTTTATCTAAAGCTCGTTTGCAGCTCGGAAACTGATTGGTGAAATTCTCAATACAAGATGACAAAATTTAAAAAAGAAACAGAAAACTCCAATCGCATTTTCTCGTTTTCCCTCCGAACTTTGTCATTGTTTTTTGAAAAAATTGGATTTAAAACAAGTTGAAATGCTTGCGGATTATTTTTTAGTGAATAGATTGCTGTCTTTTCACGACGAATCCCCAACAATTTCAACACTTCATTTCGCATTGTTTTGTTTAAAGTTAAGTAAAAGATTACTATTGAACCGGGAAATTTTCCCATAATTTTCGCAACAAGATAAAGTTCTGATTTTAAGGCAGACAAGAAGAAAAAAGACAAATTTTTAACTGAATGGCCTTTATTGTATTGGGTTGATGCATAATTATCCGGACTTCTTTTTGCGTGCTTGTATCTTTTTTGTTTTGAAAGCTTTTTGTCTATTTCTTTTTTTTAAATATTCGTTATTCTTTAGTGAACAAAATGCGTGTCGACAATCATATCCATCTTCGCCATATCATGCTCTACCACTTCGAAAAGGGATGGTCTGCCGCAGAGTCGTTTCGCGATCTCAAAGAACTGGAGAAGCCCCAACGGACTACCACGTCAATCGATCGCTCAAAAATTGGCAAACAAATAAGATCTACAACGATTTGGATGACTTGATAGACGATGTTAAAGCGTGGATTGCCTCCAAAGATCGTTTATTCTTCGCTCGTGGAATCGATCGTCTTCCAAGCAAATGGCAATCAGTTATTGATGTAGGCGGTGAATATGCTCCAGAATAATCAATTAAACATATTTTTCTAACTATTTATGTTATTTTTTTGTTAAATAAAATCATTTATAAAAGAAGTCCGGATAATTATGCATCAACCCAATACATTAGCAATTATAAATGAACTATCAAATGCGAATTGGTCATCATTAGCATTTGAACAGGCTTGCAGGCATTTTGGGAAGGCGTCAACGGTGGCGACCAAATAGCTGAACTGAGCTCTTCCCACGCTTTCAACAGTGGTTTCTTCAAGTTTTTGATGTTTTTGTGGGACCTTGAACAAGCTTTGGCTTTTAGAACCGACCACACTGAAAAATCCATTGAGTTGAGGTCTGGAGAGCTAGGTGGCCACTTAGAAAAGAAATGAAGTCCGAGAATTTTTTGGCAAAACTCTTGGATTTGTGGGCTGATTTGCCATCTTGCTGATAAGTCCAAATGCTATTTTCAAAATGGCAAGGGTTCATCCTTGAGAAGAGCCAGGTAGTTATCGGAATTACGCGCTTGATACCTTGTTGCGACAATTATGGCGCATCTTGTACACAAACGTAGCTAAAGCTAACCATTCGAGAGTTGCGAACACTTGTTAGTCGCAGTCACAGTCGGTCAATAAAAAGGGGCATCGGGATGAACTGCATGGCAACATCTAAACATCATCAAAATTGGGCTTGTTTTTTTGTGTTTGTAAATGCCAAATACCAAAGTTAAACATAAAATTGGCTAAATATTAGGTGTGTGAAAAAGTAATCGACGTTTTTAACGTTTAAATATAGAGGACCATAAGTTTCGTTAAAATAATTTTTATTCAACGAAGTAATCACCATTCGAAAGAACAACCTTTTGCCAACGTTCTACAAGTAAAGACATTCCACGATAATAAAAATCTTGGTCCTTAGAGGCGAAGAAAAGAGCAACCTCGGTTTTGACATCTTCTTCGGAATTGAACCGTTTATTGGCCAAAAAGTTAGACAGAGACAAAAATAAATAATAATCAGATGGAGAAAGGTCTGGACTATAAGGTGGATGTGGTAAAACCTCCCATCCAACACTCTGGATTTTTTGTCAAGTCTGTAAAGAGACATGTGGTCGCGTGTTATCGTTCATGCGGTATCCATTTGTCCAACTTTTTGATGAAATTCATGGCATCCAAGCGTTTCCTTTACGGTTGACCCATCACAATTTAACGTAAGGCCTATTTCTGAAGAAGTTGAACGAGGGTTTTCGAGAAGACAGCGTCTTATTTGGTCATCAGAACAGGTCTCAGGGCGACCGCCACGTGGTTCATCTTCTAGGCTTTCATCACCACCTTTGAATCGTCGGAACCAAAACCTAGCGGTACCATCAATAACGGCGTCTTCGCCAAACGCATTCCGAATTCGACGTGCAGCCTCCGCAGCTTTCAACCCATTTTTGAACTCATAAAGCAAATTTGACCGAATAACGATACTTGTGTATACCATTTTCAAACTAAAATGAAAGTAGTTTATTGTTGTCCTTTTAACAAAATAAATATATCATTCGAAAGAGGAAAAAATAAGCTTTTAAACGATATATATATCGTTAACAAAAAATTAAAAATTGTTTAGATATATTTATTTAAACAAAATAAAAATAAAAAACGTCGATTACTTTTTCACACACCTAATAGATGTCTGAAGTTATGCATTGCCTTTTGTTATTCAATCATTTCTTCATTAAAGTTTATTTATTTAAGCTGTTTTCAAATTGAATGACAATTTAAGACTTTTTTTAATTAATATAACTTTTGAGACTTAATATCCATCATTGTAAGAATTATCACCAGTGGTAAACATTCTTATTTCCATAATATCCATAATCATCCAAATAATAGTTGCTGCAAGTTTCATTTTCTGCTTCGCCCACATTGTAAGAATTATAACCGTTGTAGTAATCGTAATCGTCCTTATTTTCATTATCCGAATCGTCCTCATCTTTTCCATTTAAGAATTCATCACACTCAGATTCTTCATCTTCATTTGAATCATTTTCTTCAGAATCTTCAGAATCATTTTCTTCAGAATCATTTTCTTCAGAATCTTCAGAACCTTCCGAATCTTCAGAATCATTTTCTTCAGAATCTTCAGAATCGTCAGAATCTTCAGAAAAAAAGCTTTTTCCAGCACAGTCCAAACCCCAGCACAGTCCATCATTAGACCTCAATTCTGGAACCTTGAACTTTGTCACCGTATCCCATTCATGATTTGCATGCTCCAATTGAACTCCATTCACTACAAAGAGACTCACAAAATATCGAATCCCTGAAGAGGATCCCATTTTCATCTCATTAGCATACCATTTGTGGAGAAATAGATTATCCGATCGTCGGAGAAATGGATTATCCGATGCATCAATTTCTTGCACACAGCTTAAACGAGAGACCAATTCCAGGTCGGATGGGTTTTTTGCAAGAACCAGTGTCACTTGATGGATCCCAGAACGGGATTTCGGTGGATTCAAACAGTAGAAAAATTTGTGTTTATTGAAAGTTTGAAGGGAGACTTTGACCCGCCAATGGTCGTCTCCAGGTTCACCAGTCATTGGATAAGGGCTTTCAGATGGTGTCTCTCCATCAAAAAGGGTAACGCCGAAGAAAATGCCATTCATTGTGAAATAGGGATCGTTGAATTGTTGACTGTAGTCAGTATAGCTGATAAGGTGATTGAAATCGGGTTGTGGGTGCTGAAAAATGAAATTTATTAGGATTTCGTTAAATCGATGAAAAAAACTGAAGTAAACAGTCGGAATAAGGTTTTTTAAAACTTATTATCAGTATCGATTTGAAAAATATATTAAGACTTTGATTACAATTAGAGTTGTAAGTTCAGCTGTTCAATTTCCCCTTTATTGATTCGGAGAATTCGATGTTTTTTGGTTGCTTTTATTGGCTATAGCAGGTATTTCTTCTTAAGTTTTTTATTATTTAAACTGACTTCAGCTTTTTCTTGTGTCACATGATAGGCCCATTCGGCTTCATAAAGAGTCTCATAAAGATCTTGAAGAAAAGAAAAAAAATCATCGTCGTTGTTCATCTTCTCTGAAAATTGATAAAGTTTATTTAAATGAGAAAGGCAAAAAAGGCAAAAATGTTTTGGATATCGAAGCGTTTCGTGGTCAATTATCAATTTTCGTTTTCTGAAAACTCTCGGAAGTTTTTTTTGCCTTCTTTTTAAGCAATGTATCTATAGATATCGACTTTTAAAGAACAAAAATGCAGCTTCAATCTAATTACCGTTGTATTGTTGACTGTAGTCCGTATTGCTGATAAGGTGATTGAAATCGGGTTGTGGGTGCTGAAAAATGAAATTTAAAAACTGAACTGAAAAAACTGAAGTAAACAGTCGGAATAAGGTTTTTTCAAACTTATTATCAGTATCGATTTGAAAAATATATGAAGAGTTTGCTTACAATTAGAGTTGTACGTTCAGCTGTTCAATTTTCCCTTTATTAATTCGGAGAATTCGATGTTTTTTGGTTGCTTTTATTGGCTATAGCAGGTATTTCTTCTTAAGCTTTTTATTATTTAAACTGACTTCAGCTTTTTCTGATAAATTATAAATTTCTTATAAAATAAATTGTGTCACATGATAGGCCCATTCGGCTTCATAAAAAGTCCCATAATGATCTTGAAGAGAGGAAAAAAAATCATCGTCGTTGTTCATCTTCTCTGAAAATTGATAAAGTTTATTTAGAAAATGAGAAAAAGGCAAAAATGTTTTGGATATCGAAGCGTTTCGTGGTCAATTATCACTTTTCGTTCTCTGAAAACACTCGAAAGTTTTTTCCTTCTTTTCAACTTTGCAAAGTATCCATAGATACCGACTTTTACCGACTTTTAAAGAACAAAAATGCAGCTTCAATCTAATTACCGATATAATCGAGTTTTCGTTGATAACAAAAAATTTTCGATAAACAATTATGGAAGCTAGGAAAAAGATTTGAAAGACAAAAACATGGGAATAATGTGCCAAAATGAGTGTGCAGTGCGTGAGAGGATACCGATGGGGCAATGATTATTAGATATTTATTCCGAATATAACACAATTATTAATCTAGCGAGAAAATATAATAAAATAGAATCAATCGTTGATTCAGTGTTTCAAAGCCAATGAAAAGCAATACAAAGTGGCCTCCGTCCCCTTTATCACACAAAACGATCTTTAGAGGGCAGGAGAATCAGAGATATTCAAAATCAAAACATTAAATAAGATTTCACAGAAAAGAGCCACTTTTCTGCACACTCCCTCGCGCAAAAAGTCAAAAGAACAATCTAACAACAAATTTGATAAGCTTGGGCAAGAGGAGCATTACGGCAATAAAACTTAGAAGGATGGGTAGATGATCTGTCAACACCGCCTCCGCGAACTCCTTCATCTCGTCCCACATTGATCGCTCCTTCATTGTCGCGTCTCCAGTGACCCATCGATTTCCGTAGTTTGGAACGTAAACGAGTTGACCGGTGACCCTCGCTTTCCTTTTCGTCGGACTGTCAATGCTCACTGCTCTCAGATGCATGCCCCGCAATCGATGTCTTCAGCACATCCTTTCCCGTCGTTGTTGTAGACAGCAAGACCGTTTGGGAGGCAGTACTCTTGGTAGACTAGCACTCCCCGGCATCCACTCGCGGATGTCCCGCTCATCAGTGACATCAAGGTCACCAGCACGAAGTACACATAGTTCTTCGGCTTTCTTGTGCGCAAGTTGTACCTTGGGCGCTTTCTTGTTATCTTCACCGTCTTCGTGCCTCTTTTCTGGGGGCGTGTTCACAAGCACCTCTTCCCGTGCTACTTCCCTTGGCCCTTCATCGGCTGCGGCTTGCTCTTCTACAACATCTCCTTCCAAGGGGTACAGAAGGGCAATTGACCGCAGCGATTGGCGACCATTTTCCATCTCGATCACAGCAGATCGGACCTGGTTGTCGACCCCTTCAATGATTCGCGCAATCTTAGCGCATCTCTAAGCAGCTCGAGGACGGTTTTCCTCGTGCACCAGCACAACCTCTCCCACTCTGGGTTGTCGCTTGATAGCTCCACGTGGCTGCTTCAAGCCTCTCGTCCCTCTAACTTGCAATGCGAGCAAGTAGCTTGAAAAGCTTGAGAGCATCAGCTGCTTTTCTCGTCATGTACGTTTTGTTGGTACCACAGTCGAAGAACGATAGAGTTGTGCCCGTGATCTGGCTGTCTGGGTTGAAGAGATGCACTTCTTCAGTCACCAACGCTTCACCGTCTCGCAAACGATCAGCCGAGATCACTACCACTTCAGGACCCAATGCTGGGGCGAATAGAAGCGAATTAGATAATCATAACCGCATATAACATATTGCTACAATACTTTTACAAAAAAGAAAGAAAACTAAAAATAATACAGTAAGACTACAGTTAGGAAATACAGATACAAGAAGATTAAATCTAGAGGAGATCTGACATGGCAATAAGATCTAATTCGTTTACAGATATTTTCAATTTTCCTACAGAAGAGCAGATACCAGAGGGGAGCTTATTCCAAACCCTACTAACACGGTTCACAAAAGAATGATAAAGGGAAAGATGATGGGGATGAGAATCGACCGAAATTTTTAATTATCTTATTGCCTATCTTATTTAATTATCTTATTTGAATTATCTTTAAAGTTTTTAATAATTTTGAATTTTTTGATTCATTTGACCTTTATCTAATTTTTTGATCGTTCAATTTTGAGGTGTTGAAAATTAGAAGACCATGGTCTTCTATTAGAATTTTTACAGTATATATTTAGTGATAAAATAATTCCAGCTTACAATTTATTCAATTTCACTGTAGTTTTTATTTTTAAATATGATTTATCAATGCATTACTTTGAAGTTTTTCATTTCACATGTACAAAATTAAATAATAAAAAAAAAATAAAGGAATTTATAAAATCAAGAAACTACATTGGAATTGGAATAAAGGAAAAAAAATCAAAATTTTGTTTTTATTAGTAATGTTGAGCAAATTGACAACAAGCTGATGGAGATTGTTTTGTCTGAATGCACAACACTGAGTAGGCCAATTCCTTGAAGCAAGTTTGGCTTAAAAGTCACAAATGCTCAGTAAAGTCACAAATTGTATACTGGTTTTATTGATAATAAAACTTTTTTGTTTTGCGTGTAACCAAACTCGAAGAAGTGTCCATGTACTCGGAGAAGTGTCCATGTACTCGGAGAAGTGTCCATGTACTCGAAGGAGTGTCCATGTACTTGAAGAAGTGTCCATGTACTCGGAGAAGTATCGATGTACTTGAAGAAGTGTCCATGTACTCGGAGAAGTGTCCATGTACTCGGAGAAGTGTCCATGTACTCGGAGAAGTGTCCATGTACTCGAAGGAGTGTCCATGTACTTGAAGAAGTGTCCATGTACTCGGGAAGTATCGATGTACTTGAAGAAGTGTCCATGTACTCGGAGAAGTGTCCATGTACTCGGAGAAGTGTCCATGTACTCGGAGAAGTGTCCATGTACTCGGAGAAGTGTCCATGTACTCGAAGGAGTGTCCATGTACTTGAAGAAGTGTCCATGTACTCGGAGAAGTGTCCATGTACTGGAAGAAGTGTCCATATCCGGTTGTCAAGTTCGATAGCAAGTTGTTTGAAATGCATTTTGGAGGCAAATGTTCTTGAATGCCACCGTCTTTTTGGAATTGCTGCAACAAAAACCATTCGATGATTTGGAGCACAACTTTTTATGAAATGTTTTGATGAAAAGAACTCGAATTTTTCCGGTGCCTCTATTTTTCCTCCGGCGCCGCTCGGTTTTTTGATTTTTTGTAACTAAAAAGTTAATTTTTAACCTATAACTCAGCGTATGAAATCTTCCTTAGACTTAGGGCTTTCTTCTGAATATTTCAGTTTTTTGAAAGACCTCCTCTGCGTCGAGAAATAATGTTCCCAAGAAAAAAAAAGCAGTGTTTTACTTGGGAATATTGACTGCTAATTGACTAATTACCAGATGAGACTGAGCAGACTATTTGCATAGCTGATCCTTTGTCAACGTTTTTTTATTGAGTCTTTCAAAAGTTTGCCTACCATTATAGTTTCAAAGTTCATTTTTGAACGTAAAATTGTTTGTAATAAAATTTTATTGCTTCATTGGATAAGAGCATAGAATTACGAAAGAAAAGATTGAACCGGAAATTGAATTTTCTGATAGAGCCTCTCATTTATTTCTATTCTAAGCTGATAAGGCAATAAGTGGCTAGTTCATTTTTGAGATTTTCCCCATTGTGCCCAGTTATTTACTAATCAGGGATTTTCAATGAAAAGCTCTCCATTCGGCCTCTTTTTCCTGTTTGTTGTGGTGGACGGATTTGACTGCCCTCCAGGCTCATCGCCAATCCCAAATGAGCAACTTTGTCTGTATCCGATCGCTGATCGTATGTGAAGTTTTCGCGTAGCAGTTTTCGTTTTATTTATCACAAGCTTTTGATGACTAATAACCCGAAATCAATCTTCATTTTTGGAGATTTAATGATGTATACTGTATATATGTCGTAGCCGATTATGAATGAGCGGGTCCGGACGCGTCCAACCATCAAGTATTTGGTATCATTCAACGCAGAATCATTTAATAATTATGTTAAATTTTTTAAATTAGAAAGATTGCATAAAAAGAAAAAAATTATGGGGCTTCAAAGTTTTCTCTTGAACAAACGGTTTTTTGCTCTAATTTTTTTTCCTTTTATCAAATCTTGCTAATTTTAAAAATTTAACATAATTATCAATGATTCTGCGTTGAATGATACCAAATACTTGATGGTTGGACGCTCCTAGACCCACTCATTCATAATTGGCTGAAATTCATAATCTACGGGGGTCCCGCCGGCTATGGGGATCCCGCCGATTTTGAATGAAACGTAGCGCTGGCAATTTTTAACCTAAACTCACAAATTTGGTACCAATCGACGCAGAATTTCATTCGCTACAAGATAATATAATATTGTCCTCATAAATTAAAGGGTTGCTCTACTAGAAAGATTTACCAAAAAATTTTATTCATAATCGGCTACGACACATATGTTACGCCCGATTAAAAAACCACGCGTCCGGATCTGATCTGGACATGTGATCGTAATCGAGCGTAACATATACAGTCGAACTTCAATACAATTAACTGCAAGGAACCGGTCGAAAAATTCGTTATATGAAAGTGTACGTTATATCGAAATTCGTTGTATAGAAACAAATCAGCATTGTTTTTTTTTGACTAATCCTCTATATAGAAGTTTCTATCACAAGTTTATTTTGAAAACAAGTTAGCAAGGAAACGTTGCAAAAACAACTCCATAAAGCTTCTTGAATTTATCCAGCCAACCGCTACTCGCTTGAAAATCGTTAATTCTTTTCAAGCTTGCCAACTCTATCGCTTTCGAAGCAGATTTCGAAGCATTCATTTTGGCTTGACATTCGCTTGAGCCAAAGAAGCACAGACTCTTCGATTGATTCGTATTTGCTCGCCTTCAATCGTGCTCTTTTTGCAGCTACTCTTTCACGCTTCCATAATGACATCATCCTAAGAATTGGTTAGATTGTTGATCGCAGCAATTTGAAGTCCTTCGCCAATTCAGCCGTTCCTTTCGAAGTTGATTGTATTCGAGTATTCGCTTCTTCAAAGCGAAATCGTCGATCGACGCGTCGACTTCCCTCACCTAAAATCTAATAATGTACTCAAAAATTAAAGAATAAGAAAGAAAACTTTACATTAAGCACACTTAAGATAAAAACGTTCCAAGCAGTAAACAAGCTAATTGCAAAAGTATTTCAAATTGAGTAAAAAATTAGATATTCAGTCAAAAAGCAGGAATCCATTTTGATTTTGCCCACATTTTAGCAAATAATTCGTTATATGGAAATGAAATACTATATTTCATCCCCAAAAAGTTTTCGTTATATCGAAGGTTGTTTCTTAACTTCTTTCTTTCTCAAAGTAGACTTATTAAAAGTTTGGAACTGAATATAGGGTTCTTTATATCGAAGTTCGACTGTATATCCACTGTTTTGTCGATTTTAGTCTGCAAAAACTGATTGATCTGTACCAATCAACCAGAGTTGAACAAGCGACCAGTGTTTAGTTTAGTAATTAAACTTTATTTCTGTAAAAGTCATGAAATCGTTGTGTTCTTTTCAGCCCAGTTCTATCAAGATGCCGTTTGGCAATGCGGGACTTTGGGCGGAGTTGTGTCGAAAGTGACGAACGCTTTTGAGAATAGCTACATTTTTTCGATGGCTAGCATATGTGAGTGAATTGGTACCTTATAGAAATCAAAAAGTTCATTATTTTCAAATAAAAAACTTAAATACTTACAAATCAAGTCAACAACGGTTTTCTGAGTGTTTCTTGTTCATAAGTTCACTGAACACACCTAAAACAACGCCTGAAACATGTGACCAACAATTGTGAAATACGTAAATAGTGTAAATTATGTATTATAAAATTTTTGAAACGAATAAACCTTGAAAAAAATTCAGATTTCAACGCAACTCAGCAATGGATCGGTGTGCAGAAGCTGGCAAACGGTTCATGGAGTTACCAAGATCACTCGGCGTTAACCTATCGAAATTGGGCACCTGGTAGGGAAAACAAAGTTATTTATGACAAGATGACAATTTGATTGTGTTTTTAACTAGCTACAGATGAGCCAAGAAACGCATCTGGCTACAATTGTGCCCTAATGACGACGGAAAATCTTCGTTGGTCGGCCGCCGATTGCTCGCAACCACGACCGTGTTTTTGTGTACTTCCGCCTCTACCTACCACAATTCAAAGTTTGATTTTTTTCAAAGAAATATAATACTTTTCATCCCATCTTATTACATAAACATGTGTGGCTTATATTGGGTTGGTGAATTGAAAACTGCCGGACTTTGAACTAAAATTTATTGAACATAAAACCATGAATTCATTCGAAATAATTTTCATTATTATTGACGACTTCTGCCCATTTTACAGGCAATTTGCGGATTCCTCTTTCGTAGTAGGATTTTGGTTTGTGTGTGAGACAAGTGTGAGACTCAAAACTGAAGAACTGGAGATGTCCCAGTTTGAGCACTTTCTTCAAAAGAAACCCATTTTAGTGTCAATAGAAAAGTTGTAGAGAATCAAAAATCAAGCTTATATCCAAATTTCCAAAAAGATACACTGAGTAGTTTCGCTTAAAATGCAAGTTTTGTAAAAATTCGTAAATTTGGCATTTCTTGAAAACCAGTTTTTGAATCGTTCTGAAAATTTGGATATAAGCCTGATTTTTAAAATAAGCCTGATTTTTGATTCTCTACAACTTTTCCATTGACACGAGAATGGG